AGGTTTTGTCAGTGATTTCCTGGCGGTAAAGTTAGTGCTTGAGGTGGGAGATAGTGGGTAAAATAAATCCTCACGGGTACCCTGAGGTGGCAAACCGACTCCTCCAGGTTTAACCCTAAGAGCTCATTGCGTTTTTGTGTGTGAAACTTTCATGTGAAACTAGTCCAGCTGTGCAGCTGTGGTAGAGCTTGAGTTTTATTTTCTGGGTAAGAGGAAAACCCCAGTGCACTAAGGTTGCAGTTTTCTATTTAGCATGTGGCAGGTGTTGTAAAGTGAATGACTCTTTAGTTAGATGTGGACACAGTAATTGTCCATGCAATGTTAGGAATAACTAAGACTGAATTTGGTGAGTAACTGCACAGGATAAAAGTGTGAAAAAACATCTTTGGTAGACAGGGTAGAGGAGGAGTCCCCAGTTAAGACATTGCAGCTTGACTTGTTTGTTCTCCAAATGCAAATGAATTCAGTGCAATAACTATTGGTGCAGATTTTAGTACTTAAACCAAAGAGATTGTCTTTTAGGTGCAGTTCCAAGAAAATGCCTTGATAGACACTTGCCATTTTAAACTTTGAAAGTCTGGCAGTGTCTTTTTCTCTAGATACAGTCATAGGGTTTCTTTAGATGAGGTCATTGTAGTCTGCTGTTGGTTTTGTGGGTTTTTTTTAAGGCTTCTTGGTAAAGTTGAAAAGGGCAATTTTGGGCTAGAAATACATACAGCACTGAGATTTCTTGTGCATGATGGAGATTTTTATTTCACAAAATAATCTGCATTATAAACTGGATGGACAACAGCAGCACATTTACTAGAAGGCAGGATGATTTTTCTATTTTGGTGGCATAATTAAGTGAACCAAGTTAAGTGCAGGGTGCACAGAAATCAGCAGATGTGCTGGATGGAAATCATGGAGTGGTGCTCTTGTGGGTCACCTTCTGTCACAAAGTGCTTGTTACAGGAACCTGCAGCAAGACCAGGAATGTGTTGCAAAACTGAGTGGAAAGTAAGGCCCTGAATACTTCCCAAAAGCTCTTTCTGTGAGGTTCAGTGTGTTTTGAAAGCAGTTGGATTGTGGGAGCTGTGTCAGAACTTCTCAGTGTCCTGTCCCTCTCCTGAGAGATGGGACGTGTGAGGGCAGGAAGACTCTCCAGTTCTGCCAAGGAAACTGTCACAGGTGTGACTGGGGGGTGGTGTAGTGTAGATAGGGCAGGCAGTTTTCTTACCCTAGATGTGCCTGTTGGTGTAGCTGATGATCCTGAAAGGAGCTCTGGTGATAGCAAGACCCTGTTGTCTGTCAGAAGAGGTGCTCATGGGGCACCCTCATGCCATAAAGCTCTGGAGGAGCAGTGGGGTCAGGAAGCCTTTTAGGACCATCCATTCTCTCAGCTGTGTGTTCTTAGGAGGCTTTTGGCTGCCTCACTGATCCACGTGTGCTGGCTTAATGGCACCTGTGGCCTTCCATTCCCTGGGGGCAGCAGGAGGGGCCAGACTGTCCTGTCAACCTGCCTTAACACCAGTCCCAGTCCTGCAGATCGTGAAGGAGTCCCAGCAGCAGCACGGTTTGCGCCACGGAGACTTCCAGAGGTACAGGTCAGTGAACAGCCTGGGTGCCCTGGAGTTCCTACTGGGACTGGCCTTGCTTCATTTCACATGTAAACTCTTTGTGACAGCCAACAAAAATGGTCTGCTGAGTAAATCCCCCTTGGCAGGTTGCTTCCTGTAGAGCAACACGTGCTTATTTTTTTTCCACTCATGTGCTGTGACTGTTCCACTGAGGAGGGCACAGCCTGGCTCTTGTTTCTCCATTGCCCTTTCAGATCTTCTTTGTTAACACCTCACTGGTAATCACTGTACTCCTTCAGAACTGAGTGTTTTATAAACATGAAGCAACAGGGCAGTAAGGGAAACATCCTTCTGATCTAGGGAGGGTTTTTTCACCAGAGAGGGCAATGATAGAGCAAGGGGTAATGGTTTTAAACTGAAAGAGGGGAGATCTAAGTTAGACATCAGGAAGAAATTCTTGACCAAGAGGGTAGGAAGGCACTGGAACAGGTTGCCCAGGGAGGTTGTGGAAGCCCCATCTCTGGAGGTGTTCAAGGCTGGATGAGGCTTGTGCAGCCTGGTCTGATGGGAGGTGTTCCTGCTCATAGCAGGGGGGTTGGAACCTGATGATCTTTAAGGTCCCTTCCAACCTTCCCCATTCCATGAATTTCAGCATCAGGAATTACTTCATGTCTCCTTACCTTGCTTCTATTCTGTTACCACTGGTTTACAGGTAGTTTCTGATCTCCCTCTTCCTGTATGTCATATATGAAGCTCTTAGTTGTTAAAATGTTTCCTGTCAGAGCCTTTAGTCCTTTTTTTTTGCTGGTTGGAGAGAACAAGAAACAGAAACAAAGTTGGGTTTTGTCTTTTCTTTAGGGGTTATTGCTCCCGTAGGCTGAGGAGGCTCCGGAAAACTCTCAACTTCAAGATGGGAAACAGGCACAAGTTCACTGGGAAGAAAGTCACTGAAGAGATTCTCTCAGACAACAGGTACAGTTACTGGATGGGAATGAGCATGCAGTGCACCAGTAGTTAGCTTCTTTCATGTGAGTGTGGTGGAAAACTGTTCTGTACAAGGTCTAAGGAAATAGTTCTTCTCAGAGATGTGTGTTGTTGGTATTAATAAAAGATTAAAATTCAGACCACAGTGCAGGGGGAAGAGGTGCTGCTCAGATCCTGCTCCATCATGTGAACAGGAATAAGGAGCAGCAACAGCCAGTTCCTTCACTCATAGTTGCTAACATGGGTTCTTTTCATAATCAGTGAATTACTTGGATATTAAAGAGGAGATGCTTATTAAGATCTGTTGCATGGCAGCCATGTGAGTGCTGGGAACATAAATGGTGTAGCCAGCAGGGTTGTGGCTGGAGACATCCTGTCCCTTTGAACAGAAATACTGGATTGCCAGTTTCACTTGGATGTTCAGAATTTGGCAGAATGCTTGTCTGATAGAATATGTGGAAAACAGCCAGGATCTTGGGCTCATTTCCCATCTTTTAAAAACACTTGAAATCTCTGCTGTCTCCACCTGTTTTGTTGAGAAGCCAGATGCTCTGTAGCATGAGGGCAAGTAGACACCTTCACCCTTATTGAAACAGTCTGACCTATAATCATTAATCTCTTGACAATGTCTGCCATGCTATGGAGAGATACCAAATCCTCTTCCTCAGTTGGGTAATTGCATTTCTGTAGTGAAAACAGAGCAGAAAACAGGAATAACATGACTTGGTGTGCATAAAGCGTTAAGAAATAAAAGCACCTACCTTTTATTAAACAAGCTGGGCTTTTGGTACAACTCACCTGCTATAACAGCTTGTTGGAATGCCCTTATTTTGTCATCAATCTTACCCTGCCCCTCAGGTACTTGCTGTTGATCCTGATGGATGCAGAGAGGGCCTGGAGTTATGCCATGCAGCTGAAGCAGGAGGCAAACACGGAGCCTCGCAAGCGGTTCCACTTGCTGTCTCGCCTGCGCAAAGCGGTGAAACATGCTGAGGAGCTGGAGCGACTCTGTGAGAGCAACAGGGTGGATGCCAAGACAAAGCTGGAAGCCCAGGTAATGACTGACACTGTGATCCTGTTTCACAGTAAAAAACTGAACAGGGAACCTTGGGATTTTTGGTGAGGACACTATTCTGGTCGAGCAATAGTTGATCAAAATGGTCTGATTCTCAAAACTGGTTGGTGTCGCCATTTGAATGGCTTGGGTTGTTTCACAGTAAAAAACTGAACAGGGAACCTTAGGATTTTTGGTGAGGACACTATTCTCGTCGAGCAATGGTTGATCAAAATGGTCTGATTCTCAAAGTGGTTGGTGTCGCCATTTGAATGGCTGTTTTTAGTGCAGCTGCTGGGATTGTAGGAATAAACAGTGGCACCAGCCTGGTGTTGAGAAGTAGTTGACTACAGGCTGAAAGTTGGGGCTGTTCAGCCTGGAGAAGAGGGTGGAAAAAAAAATGCTCAGAAGACTCTGATGTACAAACTTCTAAAGCTTATGACTTAGCAAAAACTGTCTGGTGAAATCTCTAAAGAGTATTTTATGTGTATACCTCGAGAGAGACAGGTGCCTCCATATATGTATTCATGAACATATATACATAGTAATGTATGCACACAGACATGTGTATACACCAAATGGACTGGAGAAAGAGACTGTTTTCCTTCATCAGTTCGAGGTTTAGCTCTGTGTAAATAGAGATGCCTGAGTAATCTGGTGGCCTTCTACAACAAGGCTACAGAGATGGTGGATGGTGGCAGAGCAAATGACGTCATCTGCCTAGATTTGCACAAGGCCTTTGACGCTGTCCCACATGACATCCTGGTCTCTAAACTGACAAGGCATGGATTTGACAGGTGGACCACTCAGTGAATAAGTAATTGGCTGAATGGTTGTACCCAGGGAGTTGTGGTCAGTGGTTCAGTGTCCAAGTGGAGACAAGTGATGAGTGGTGTTCCTCAGGGGTCAGTACTGGGACCAGTGCTATTTCACATCTTTGTTAGAGACATGGATGGTGGGATTGAGCATATCCTCAGCAAGTTTGTTGACAATAAAAAGCTGTATGGAATAATTAACACCCTAGAGGGAAGGGATGCCATCCAGAGGGACCTTGACAGGCAGGAATGGTGAGCCAAGTGCCAAGTGTAAGGTCTTGCTCCTTGGTAGGCGTAACCGCAGTCAAAAATGCAGGTTGGGGTGAGAATGGCTGGAGAGCAGTTCTGAGAAAAAGAGTCTGGGGGGGGTAGTAGTTGAGAAGCTTGACATGAGCCACTAGTGTGTGCTGGAGCCCAGAGAACAACTGCATCCTGGGCTGCATCAAAAGAAGTGTGGCCAGCAGGGCCAGGGAGGTGATTCTGCCCCTCTGCTCTGGTGAGACCCCACCTGGAGTCCTGTGTACAGCTCTGGTGCCCTCAGCACAGGAAAGACATGGAGGTGTTGGAGAGGGTCCAGAAAAGGGCTACCAAGATGATCAATGGCCTGGAGCACCTCTGCTATGAAGACTGGCTGAGAGAGTTGAGGCTATTAAGCCTAGAGAAGAGAAGGCTCCAAGGAGACCTTATAACAGCCTTCCAGTACATGAAAGGGGTCTACAGGAAAGCTGGGGAGGGGCTGTTCATTAGAGAAGGCAGTGATAGGACAAGGGGTAACTGTTTTAAACTGAAAGAGGGGAGATTTTAGGTTAGACATCAGGAAGGAATTCTTCACCATGAGGGTACTAAGGTGCTGGAATAGGTTGCCCAGGGAGGTTCTGGAAGCCCCATCTCTGGAGGTGTTCAAGGCTGGATGAGGCTTGTGCAGCCTGGTCTGATGGGAGGTGTTCCTGCTCATAGCAGGGGGGTTGGAACCTGATGATCTTTAAGGTCCCTTCCAACCTTCCCCATTCCATGAATTTCAGCATCAGGAATTACTTCATGTCTCCTTACCTTGCTTCTATTCTGTTACCACTGGTTTACAGGTAGTTTCTGATCTCCCTCTTCCTGTATGTCATATATGAAGCTCTTAGTTGTTAAAATGTTTCCTGTCAGAGCCTTTAGTCCTTTTTTTTTGCTGGTTGGAGAGAACAAGAAACAGAAACAAAGTTGGGTTTTGTCTTTTCTTTAGGGGTTATTGCTCCCGTAGGCTGAGGAGGCTCCGGAAAACTCTCAACTTCAAGATGGGAAACAGGCACAAGTTCACTGGGAAGAAAGTCACTGAAGAGATTCTCTCAGACAACAGGTACAGTTACTGGATGGGAATGAGCATGCAGTGCACCAGTAGTTAGCTTCTTTCATGTGAGTGTGGTGGAAAACTGTTCTGTACAAGGTCTAAGGAAATAGTTCTTCTCAGAGATGTGTGTTGTTGGTATTAATAAAAGATTAAAATTCAGACCACAGTGCAGGGGGAAGAGGTGCTGCTCAGATCCTGCTCCATCATGTGAACAGGAATAAGGAGCAGCAACAGCCAGTTCCTTCACTCATAGTTGCTAACATGGGTTCTTTTCATAATCAGTGAATTACTTGGATATTAAAGAGGAGATGCTTATTAAGATCTGTTGCATGGCAGCCATGTGAGTGCTGGGAACATAAATGGTGTAGCCAGCAGGGTTGTGGCTGGAGACATCCTGTCCCTTTGAACAGAAATACTGGATTGCCAGTTTCACTTGGATGTTCAGAATTTGGCAGAATGCTTGTCTGATAGAATATGTGGAAAACAGCCAGGATCTTGGGCTCATTTCCCATCTTTTAAAAACACTTGAAATCTCTGCTGTCTCCACCTGTTTTGTTGAGAAGCCAGATGCTCTGTAGCATGAGGGCAAGTAGACACCTTCACCCTTATTGAAACAGTCTGACCTATAATCATTAATCTCTTGACAATGTCTGCCATGCTATGGAGAGATACCAAATCCTCTTCCTCAGTTGGGTAATTGCATTTCTGTAGTGAAAACAGAGCAGAAAACAGGAATAACATGACTTGGTGTGCATAAAGCGTTAAGAAATAAAAGCACCTACCTTTTATTAAACAAGCTGGGCTTTTGGTACAACTCACCTGCTATAACAGCTTGTTGGAATGCCCTTATTTTGTCATCAATCTTACCCTGCCCCTCAGGTACTTGCTGTTGATCCTGATGGATGCAGAGAGGGCCTGGAGTTATGCCATGCAGCTGAAGCAGGAGGCAAACACGGAGCCTCGCAAGCGGTTCCACTTGCTGTCTCGCCTGCGCAAAGCGGTGAAACATGCTGAGGAGCTGGAGCGACTCTGTGAGAGCAACAGGGTGGATGCCAAGACAAAGCTGGAAGCCCAGGTAATGACTGACACTGTGATCCTGTTTCACAGTAAAAAACTGAACAGGGAACCTTGGGATTTTTGGTGAGGACACTATTCTGGTCGAGCAATAGTTGATCAAAATGGTCTGATTCTCAAAACTGGTTGGTGTCGCCATTTGAATGGCTGTTTTTAGTGCAGCTGCTGGGATTGTAGGAATAAACAGTGGCACCAGCCTGGTGTTGAGAAGTAGTTGACTACAGGCTGAAAGTTGGGGCTGTTCAGCCTGGAGAAGAGAAGGCTCCAGGGAGACCTTAGAGCAGCTTCCAGTGCCTGAAGGGGCTCCAGGAAAGCTGGGGAGGGGCTTGGGACAAGGGCAGGGAGGGATGGGACGAGGGGGAATGGATTGAAACTGGAAGAGAAGAGATTTAGGTTGGAGATCAGGAGGAGATTCTTTAGTGTGAGGGTGGTGAGAGCCTGGCCCAGACTGCCCAGGGAAGCTGTGGCTGCCCCATCCCTGGCAGTGTTGAAGGGCAGGTTGGATGAGGTTTGGAGCAACCTGGGCTGGTGGGAGGTGTCCCTGCCCATGCAGGGGGTTGGAACTTGATGATCTTTAAGGTCCCTTCCAACCCAAACCATTCTATGATTGTATGATTATGATGATGAAGTGTATCCAATGATTGTCCCTGCTTTGAAGAGCAATACATTTAACAAAATTAAAAAAGAATGAGAGTAAGATGATGCAACACATCCTGAGAATCTGTTTATTTATTATCAATACCCTAAAGTAGCCACCTAGAACACAAGACTTGTGCCTTTGCTGTCTGGAACACAAAAAGCAGCTGTGTTGTGACACCAGCCTCTCTGAACAAGGGGCTGCAGTGATGCTCAATTCAAACTGCCATTTTGTAGCTCATTGCTGGAAGAAGTTTAGTGACATCCATGGGCCATGGGGATTGCATAGCAAGCAAGAAAAATCTTTCATCTCCTTAGAAATATAGCAATGTCAGTTCAAATAAAAAAGGGAGGTGGTTGATAACCCCTGATCCAAATCAGTTGTCTGCTGTGGGAAGGCAAAGGAGAAGGTTTCATGCTAAAGGTTGTTCAAACCAGGCTGTGGGTCCCAGGGAATGAACTTGCCCCTGCTCTGTTCGCAGGCATACATGGCTTACCTCACAGGAATGCTTCGTTTTGAACACCAGGAGTGGAAGGCAGCAATGGAGGCTTTCAACAAATGCAAGTGAGTTTCCCCCACTTCCCCAGCTTCATGCAGTAAATAGTGTTGGATCAGTCTGGTAAGTTTATGTCCTGTAGGTAGAGCAGCTCTTTCCTTAATTGTACACTTAAATGGGAGGTACTACTGCAGAAACAGCATCCTCCAGAGTAGAGATACAAACTTTTCCCTTAAAAAACAACCTTTCACAAACCAGCACATACTGCAGTGTTGATATTGATTCTTTGCTGTAGGACCATATATGAAAAACTGGCCAATGCTTTCACAGAAGAACAAGCTGTGCTGTATAACCAGCGTGTGGAGGAGATCTCACCCAACATTCGTTACTGTGCCTACAATATTGGTAAGGAAAGGGGGGCACCTCATCTCCAGCAAAGAGCAGGGCTTGTTCACAGGAAAGAAGTCTTGAGTTGATAGTTAATTGGGTATTGGGAGCAGTTTCTTCACCCAAAGGGTTGCTAGGCCCTGGCACAGACTGCCCAGGGCAGTGAGTGATGGAGTCACCATCCCTGAAGGGATTTAAAAGCCATGTAGATGTGGGGCTTGAGAACATGGTTTAGTGGTGGGCTTGGCAGTGCTGGGGTAATGGTTGGACTTGATCTTAAAGGTCTTTTCCAACTAAAATGGTTCCCTGGTTAAATACTGGTTTGGGCAAATTCTGCACACATTCTGTGTAAGCTTAGCAGTGGAGAAGTGTACTCATTTTGCAACTGTGTGTGTGGTTTTGTGTAAAAAGAAAAAATACCAGTTTGCTTATGCAGTCAGAATGAAAATTTAAATTTAATGTTATCCCCTTTGTCCCCAAATTGCCAGTGTAAAATCTAATGGTCAGCATTTCTGTATGAAAATAATTTGTGAACTCAGCTGGAAAGGTGATCTTGATGGGCTAATTCTCTCAGGTGACCAGTCTGCTATGAATGAGTTGATGCAGATGAGACTGAGGTCTGGTGGCACTGAAGGTCTTCTGGCAGAAAAACTGGAGGTAACTTATTTGCATGCTGGAATTTGAAAGATTCATGATCACTCTGTGGAGCATAAAGAACTGCTGCAACACACCATTAAGAGCCAAAACACATCAGGAGAGAGAACCCAGTCTGGGCTCTGTGAGAAACCACACTGTCCTAAAAAGCACTTTTGATTTCCAAATAGTCAAGTCTAATGTGAATTGGAAAGGTTCAGGTTTGGATACTTTGGAGTTCAGGCTCCTGAGTTCAGTCTTTCTCTCCAGGCACTGATCACCCAGACTCGAGCCAAGCAGGCAGCCACCATGAGTGAGGTGGAGTGGAGAGGAAGAACAGTTCCTGTCAAGATAGACAAAGTGAGGATCTTCTTGCTGGGGCTGGCTGACAATGAAGCAGCCATTGCTCAGGTAACCAGTTGCTCAGGTAACCAGAAGCCATCTCTGCTGCCAGTGTTCTGTCCTTTTTCCTTCAATGTGCAAGGTAAAGACCTGGACTAAAAGCTTTTGAATCATTTTTTCTTTTTTTTTCCCCCCAAACTTGGGGTTGGAAGATGAAAGTAAAAGTGGGAATGTTGGCTCTAACCCAGAGTTGAAGTGTCAGTTGGGGAGTGCTACCACCAGCTACCAAGTAGTAATCTTGGAGATCATAGGGGTTGGAAGGGACCTCTGAAGATCATCAAGTCCAACCTCTCTGATACAGAAGGAACACCTGGGGCAGGTACTACAGGAATGTGTCCAGATGGGTCTGGGAAGTCTGCAGAGAAGGAGGCTCCACCGGTCTGGAAAGTCTGCAGAGAAGGAGGCTCCACAAGCTTTCTGGGGAACCTGTCCCAGGGCTCTGTCACCCTCACAGTAAAGAAGTTTCTCCTCATGTTGAGGTGGAACTTCTGTGTTGTAACTTGGTGCTGTTTCCCCTTGTCCTGTTACAGGCATCACTGAAAAGGGACTGGCCCATTCTTGACACCCACCCTTCAGATATTTATAGACATTAATAAGATCCCCTTTCAGTCTTCTCAAGACTAAAAAGCCCCAGGTCTCTCAACCTTAGATCTGTTCTGGGTATCACTGCTCTTGTGAATACTCTGTGGTGCCACCTTTCAGTGACAGGGTGATAACCATAATTTGTAAGTCACTGGAAAATTGAAGTTACAATTTGAAGAGTGTCTGGTTTTGAATTGCTGTTCTAACTTATTTAAGTATCTTTCTCCAATGCTTCAACTTCAGAGCAGTCAAAAGAAAAGATATCCATCAATCACATCTTTCCAGTAACAAAAAGCAGTTTGCAGGTGATGTGAGATTTACACCAGGTCTCCTCTTGACTTGCACAGATCCTGAGAAGCAGGAAGAGGATTGCTGACTGTCAGGATGTAAATCAGTTTCAAATGTTAACAGTTCTGAAACACCTGCAGTAGCACGTACTATGCATGTGTTCAGCATTGCAGCCAAGTTTTCCACATGGAACATTCATTTTTCTTGGAAATGGTGCCCAGGTGGTGTATTCTCCTTCCCAATGGCTGCACACAGCACACTTGCTGTTTGAAAAGGCAGTGAAAGGATCCTCAGTGACACTTGTTGCCACTGAAGGTGGGGCTTTTGCAGCAACAAAACCCATTTATCACCAGGACAATAATGTCAATACATAGAAATTGAAAGGATGACATGAAAAGCCCACAAGGCAGGTGGGCAAGAGCAGGAGATAGTGTTAAGAAGAGTGTGAGTGGGATACAATAGGATGTGGTTGGGTAGGAAACAAACTCATGAACTGTGTGTTGCTGAATTTATGTTTTCAGGCAGTACAGGAGCGTGGCCACCAGGTGGAAGTGCAGCTTAGAGCCCAGTGTCCCTTTTAACTACCACCCTACCAGACCTTCAGTTGGACCTTTTCAGTTTAGTTGTAACCATCAAGCTGTGGCAGAACAGTGATCTGAGTTTGTTTTCATCTTGCTTTGTGTTCCTTGGAAGCTCTGAATAAACAGGGGAGTTTGGTGGCACCAGATCATAACTAACAATGGGAAGAGCTGCACACAGCAGCACTTACATTCCCAGAGGACTGAAACTTGGCTGTTTGGAAGCAGTTCTGCAGCTGCTGTGTCAGCTGTGAGGGGCAGTTCAGCTTTAGCCAAACACATTGTGGTTCCTGGGATCTTTGGCACCTTTCTGGGAGTCTTTGCTAAGTAGAAACCCCAGCAGTGCTCTTTGGGGTTTGATTAGAAGCAAACACAAATGTGTGTTTTGTGTAAAAAAAATGGAGATTCTCAGTGTAGTTACACCACTGCATTCAGGGTCTTTCTGGTAACTGGAGAAACAGAACAAATAAGCCAATCAACTGAAATATGAATCCAAGTTTAAAATTCCTTATGTCAGCCTCTTGTAGACCTGAATTCATGACTTCAAGGACTAGCCAGGCAGAAGTGAGAAGGCTAAAGGGCAGAGTGACAGAAGTGTGCTCCTCTCTGGCATTGCCTCAAGGATTCTGTGGTCATCTCTGATAACTAGGACTGTAGCAAAATTGGGTGATAATCACTTTCAGATATCATACACAGTGTTTTAGAACAAATTATAAATCAGAAGTGAGCATTCCTAGGCTTTCAGAAGTGGGTTCAGTGGGATCATTCCCCTTGATCCCTTTAAGATTAACCTGTGCTGTTGTACCAGGACTCTTAAATCAGCAGCCATAGCATTTGAATCTCAGTTTTCTGCTCTGATACCTCTGAAATGATCTGGTATCTCTCAAAGCAGAACATGTCTATTTATGCATAGAATTGGCTTAAACCTAGGGGTTTTTGCTCAGAAAGGAAAGCCTCAGTTTCATTGCACAGCCCAGCCCTTTCTCTGTTTGTGCTTGACTGATGATCTAGCCAGGTCTGTTTTCATTTTTGTGCATACAGTAAAATTGTTGTGCTCCTCTGGGTGAGGTTGAGAATGCTGCCAGACTAGTCTCTGGTTATTCTCAGCAGTTACTCCCACCTTAAAAATTCTTGCAGCAAATCTTAGGGAAAAAAAAACAACAACAAACAGCAGAACCCAAAAAACCCACCTTCATCTCAGGTCAAGATACATGTGGCTTTGTGAGAGGGTAAAAATAACATTCCTTAGTGGGTTTGCAGAGCTGAGAAGAGGCAGAGATTGTGGAGCTCTTAAAGAAGATCAACAAGCAAGCATGTTTTTAGACAGTTTATTCATTTGGACAGTTGCAAATTTGTTACAGCAAAGTTCATCTTGTGCTGTTACATGACATGGAAGTGATATTACCCAGTTCTGCTGCACTTCAGTCTCTCTTCTGATTGCTGAGGTTGGTTTTGGGGCAGTTTTAACAAATCAATAGAGTCTTGTGGTTCCCACCTGGGTTGTCTTCTCAGTCACCTGAATGGGAGTTGAGTTGGGCTTTGGGTGGGTTTTTCAGCTGGGTCCATGATATGCCAACCCACTTGGCAGAGATGAGGCTTCAGCTTGTTTTTTTAAAACTTGTTTTCAAGTTTTGCCTTTGAGGCAGGAGGGCAAAAGCTGCTTTGTTTTCGGACACAACTTGTCATGAGAGCAGCAGAGCCCTCAGTCACTCCTCTCCTCAAGTATAGGGTTACTTGAAAAAAATGCTTCAAACAAGCAGATTATTGCCTCTGTGAGCATTACTAGAGTGGGAGGGTAGAAAAGATAATCATCTATATGTTCTTACCACATGAGAAAAAGTCAAATCAGCATAACAAGAGCAGTCTGCTTTGGTAGTTTGCCAGCTCAGTAATGCTCAGCTCTTCTTCTGTTGCTGGGCCTTTCCCACAGTGCAGTCCAACCTCAGCTGTTCCTGGAGCAATGTGGGTGCCATCCTAGAAGGGAAATTGCTGGGAAGGTAGTTGTTGCAGGGGTGAGGGTCAGAACTGTGTGTGCTGGGCCTTCAGTGCTGCTAAATTCTGAGTCCTGGCCACATTCCCCACAATTTCTGGCAGTTTGTCCTCTAGAACGTCCTGCAGTCAGGTACAAATTGGGGTCCTAGCTGCCTGTGGGTCTTAAAGCAATAACTTGGGAGAAACTGAAACAGTCTTCTCAGTTAATTGTGGCATCATGGGATGCAAAATACAAAACTTCCTCATGGATATCTGTCTTTCCTTTGCTCCTAGGCAGAAGATGAGGAAACAAAGGAACGTCTGTTTGAGTCTTTGCTCAGTGAGTGCAGAGATGCCATTCAGGCTGTTCGGGAGGACCTGAAACCAGACCAGGTGAGCAGCAAGCAACAGTTCTTCTACTTCCAACAACACACTTGTTTCCTTGGGACTGATTCCTTATCATTAAACTTGCTTAACAATAAATGTGGCTGAGATTCTTGAATAAAAAGCTGCAAAAAAGTCTGTCACCTTTGGTTTTATACTCTTCACAACTGGAGAGGGTGAATAGCAGTGTGGAAGCCTTCATTCTTTTGCCTGGAAGTCTGTTGTAACATCCTTGTTGACCCAAACTTTGAGTTGTTCCTGATGTTTCCTTCCCTCTGTTGCCAGTTTTAGGTAAATCACACAGTATTTTGTCCCCATTTTCCACAGAAGCAGCGGGAACACTCTCTGGAAAACGATTCTGGGAAGGTGTCCAACATCCAGTATTTACACAGGTAATAGGCAATGGTTGTTGCCTGTACTAGTGTGAAGAAGTCATGCCCTTTATGGGTTTGTTTTATGGGGCTTTTTCTGCTCTAGCCTCCTCAGATCTCAGAGGATGGCTGCATGGATAAGGATCACATTCCTGCACCTTGCAAAACATTTTACTTCACTTTCCTCTTGACCTCTCCGATGTTTTTATCCACCCCGATCAGCTTAGACTGGGGTGGGGAGGAGGAGTTTGTTTGGCTGAACAAAGAGCAATACCTGAGCAGTCCTGACAGCCTGCTAATGGTGGCTTTCTCTTCCTAGTTACTTGACTTACATCAAGCTGTCCACAGCCATCAGACGCAACGAGAGCATGGCCAGGGCCCTGCAGAAGGCCCTGCTGCAGCAGCCACGTCCCGAGGAGGACGGGAAGCGCGCCCCGCGGCCCCAGGACCTGATCCGCCTCTACGACATCATCCTGCAGGTGCTGCTGGGGAAGGGGAGCTGGGTCTTCACACTGACTTGGGAGAGATTGGGGAGAAAAAGGGATTCTAGAAAACACAACCAGCTGCCCTGTGAAGGCTGAGGAGCAGCTGAGGATCTGCAGTTAAAAGGATCTGCAGTTAAAAGGTCATGGCGTGGTTGGATTGGAAAGGACCTTAAAGATCATCCAGTCCCACCCCCTGCATGGACAGGGACACCTCCCACCAGCCCAGGTTGCTCCAAGCCCCATCCAACCTGCCCTTCAACACTGCCAGGGATGGGGCAGCCACAGCTTCCCTGTTCCAGTGTCTCACCACCCTCACACTAAACAATTTCCTAATGTCTCACCTAAATCTCTCATTTTCCATTTTTAATCCATTACCCCTTGAAGATGTTCCACATCTACATGAAACATAAAGAAACCTTTCTAGTTGTGAACAGAAAGTGCTGCCTTTAGTTGTACACTCAAGTGCAGTTTAAAAAGACTTGTTTCTGGCTATTTTATGCAGCACCCTGATAGTTGCCCTGGTTTCTGCTGCAAAGAAAGTAGCAGCCAAGAATACTCAATGTACTTGCCCTTCATAAGCAGTTTCTCAGTTTCTTGCATAATTTTCTTATTAACTCTGGGAGGCTGTGGCTGAAGCAGTTGTGAATGGGAAAGGGAAATGCCTTATGGAATAATTACTCCATGTGAAATCTGAGGAGTCTTTGCCCTTCATTGCTTTTTGTGTCAGGAAATCTGGCCTGAGGGCAAACTTGCACAAAGTTTCAGTGAGTGTCCTTCACAAGGTTAGCATCCTGATAATTAAAAAACTGGAAACTATTCCCATGGGAGTGTATTGTTGACTTGCTAAAAGGGGCAGTTTTCTCTCAGTTCAGCAGATTCCAGAGGAAAACACTACCTGCATTTGTTACTCTTGACTCTTCTTTTGCACAGAACCTTGTGGAGCTGACACAGCTTCCTGGCCTAGAAGAGGACAAGAACTTCCAAAAAGAGATTGGATTGAAGACACTTGTGTACAAAGCTTACAGGTGACTGAGGATCAGCCAGGTTTTCTTTAGCAGGCATTAACATCTTCAGAGGTTGTTATTGTAAAATTCTTTGTGCTCTACAGTTTCCTCTCTCCTTCTGTGAAGTGCAGACTGGATGCTAAGGGGAAACTGGCCAGTGCTGCTTAGTAATATCTCCTGTGATCTGTCATTTTGAGTTGACAAAAGGTGTGGATAACAACATGTCAAGGATCCACTCTTCACTGTTGCAGGTGTTTCTTCATTGCACAGTCCTACGTCCTGGTAAAGAAATGGAGTGAAGCTCTTGTTTTGTATGAAAGGGTGTTGAAATATGCCCGTGAAGTTCAGGCAGGAGCTGGAGCTTACACCAACAGCTTGAAGGTAGGAGCCCAGTCTTGTGTGTAAGAGGCAGCTGAAGTTTATGAAAAAACTGTCCTGGTACTTATTGTCAATGAGGTGCCAGGCCATTACAATTCAAGACTGATCTTTAAGAAGGGAGAAGAGTAAAACAAGTGTGACTTCCTGACACATTATATCAGACATTTCCTAGCAATATGGAAGAGTTTCAGCTGGCCACTTGCTTTGGAGGAGACACAGACTTGCTGTAACATGTTGCTTCATGACAATTTCTCAGGTTTTCTCACATGTTCTATTTGAACAACTTCTGCAGTGCCTGAAGGACTGTGCTGTGGCTTTTCCTCTTCTAGGAAGGCCTATCAGCACTAGGACCTAGTTTCTTAGTTCTTACTTTGTCAGGTTTTACCTTGACCCCAGCTCTTAAACCTGCACATTTCAGGCTCTCGAATAATGTTCTTTAATCACCAGGAGCTGCCTGATGTTCAGGATCTGATCACTCAAGTCAATGCAGAGAAATACTCCTTGCAAGCAGCAGCTATATTAGGTGAGTTGCACAATTACACCAGAGCTCTTAACATCTCTTGAATATGCCCCTGCAGCTATTTTGTACCTTTTATTTCATTTCTGAAGTTCCAAATGTTTTTCCACTTCACTCTGATCTGTGTAGACTCTGGAAAACGTGGTTGTTTTTCTTCCTCCCCTCCCAGTTCTAACTTCTTCAAGCTGTGTGTAGTGCAGTTAGGTAACCAGTGACTAGACATTTGGCACCTTGCTCTCTGCCCAGAGATGTGGAAATGCTTCATGAGGATGTGCCCTTGTTTCAATAACCTGCACAGAACATTCTGCTTAGTGTTTAGTTGCTTTGCTACAAACAAGTTGGCCTTCCTCATCCCAGTTCTGCTTAGCTGGGAGCATTACTGAGAAGGAGGAACTAGTGATGTCCTGGTCTCTGTGGGTGTTGACCAGGTAAGGGGAACTTTGGAGGAATGGATGAACTTTGGGATTTCTTAGACTGCTGTTTTTGTTGTGCCTGCTTCTGGAATCCCAAGATAAATAAGGGTTTGCCTCATCTCCTATTGCCTCAATGTTGCTTTAACAGACCCCACTGGGATCTTCTCATCATCTGCTGCTTTGTGCTTAACTCAGATTCTGGGCTTCTTTCAGGACCTTCTCACAACAGTGTGAAGGAAAAGTTCTCTGCCACTGGAGAGAGTGTGTGGCCTGGAGATAAGCATGTGTGATCCTCTTAGTCTAGAAAACAAGTTGATTCTACTGAAAATACTGTCTTCCCTATCCCAGAAAGCAGGGTTCATAGCTCAGCTTAGGGGACAGCTGACTCCTACTTTCTCCCAAGTGACACTGATATTCTTTCCACTTCTCCCATTTTTCAGATGCAAATGATACTCATGAGGCTGAATCTCCATCTCAGGTCAAGGATGGCAAGGTAAGAGCTGAGAATTCAGGCAAATTCCAGTAGTGTTCTTAATGAGTGTTACCTCCAGCCTGTTAGCTGGCTGTCTTTACAACTCCAGGAATGTCATGCTGATTGGAGTGTGGTCAGGACTGGTCTATTAAAGAGTTTTCATGAGGCTTGGTTTCCTTCTGCAAGTCCTGAGGGTGCTTGGCAGGGTGGGGCTCCTCGGGGAGAAGCTGTTTGCAGCTTCTAGTGTGGCATCTTCATTTATTTTTTTTTAAATCTACCTTTCTCCCTGCACCTGGGGAGTTTTTCCAGACTTCCAGCAGTGATGCTGTGACATTTGTCCACCTTATCTTCAAGATGTACCCCCCAAAGGGAGTTTCAGCTTCTGTTGTGTCAGTTTTTTTGCTTAATCCTCTTCACTCCTTCGATCCTTGTCAGCTCTGATTTGACATGTGATTAATCTGTGTTCCTGCCTTGGTGTCTTTCAGCCACTCTCAGAACGGTTTGAGACTTTCTGTCTGGATCCTTCTCTTGTCAGCAAGCAAGTCAGCCTCGTGCACTTCCCTCCTGGCTTCCAGCCCATTCCATGCAAACCCCTGTTCTTTGACCTAGCCCTTAACCATGTTGCTTTTCCACCTCTGGAGGACAAGGTGGAGCAGAAGGCCAAGAGTGGCCTCACGGGATACATCAAGGGCATCTTTGGATTCAAAAGTTAACCAGGACCCCCTGAGGAACCAGAGGTTTTATTCTGTATTGAAAGAAAAGCTCCAAGAGGCTTTAGGACACAGATCCCTGCACCTGAAACCAACAGAGGGAAGTTTTGCCATCTTCTTCCCTGTGTTCTGTGTATATTCCCGTGCACTTGTCTTCTCTCCCAGTGTCTTGAAGACAAACAACCAGTTCAGAAATACACATGCACTCTATAAATAGCTGAAAATAATCTGGAGCACAGAGAAATCACATTCTGCTTTGGAGAAGATGGAGCTTGCTTGTGACCAGGGGCCTGTTCAGGGTTGGTACACATCTACTTACCATGGACCAGAGCTTTGGTATAACTTGGTTCATCCCTCTGCCCCATTATTTGACACTATAATTTGGTCTTTTGGTCTAGAAATCTGGTTGTGATGTGGAAACAGAGGCAAAAGTAGATGCAGAATTAAACCAGCAAGGTGAACTAAACCAGCTGCCTGCACGAGGGCTATGAAACAATAGCCAAGGGGGGTAACTTCTTCCCTTTCCACTCCCATTTTAAAGTCTCTGTATTAAAAAAAAAAAAAGTAACATTCAGAAATGACTAAATAGAGCCTCTTTCCTTACCAATAAGGATGGCAAACACCAAATATATTAATGGTTACCCAGTTGTGGTGGAGTAGAACCTGGATTTGTACTCTGGGCCAATAGGATCCTTCTTTGTTGATACGTGTTTTGTTAAATGCCTAAATACAGTATAGAACCTATTCCTACAAGGCTTTTCCTGGGAAACTGGCTTCATGGGTAGCTTTAGAAACAGCTACTTGCTCTTCATGGGAAGTTGGGTGTCTTGATGTTTGTTTTTTTTGTCTCTAATCTAAACCTTGTCTGAAAACAAGCTAGTTTTTTTCTGGACTTCATCTGTTGCTTTTTACTCGTCTTTGGATAGTAGGTAGACCTGAAATGAGGAATAAGCAACAGGAAATCAGTAGTTTTTTGAGTAGATTACCTCTGTCATGCCATGCAGCTGCTTTTTTGTTGGTTTTCTAAAGCACCCAGGTGCTTGGTGACAGGCACTTCAGAATGCGGGTAATTCCATAATCATCATTGAAATGGGGAAAAATAACACAGCACATGGGCAGAACTGTTCCTAAATAAAGTATTTGGAAGTTTCCACCAGCAGTGTTTGGATTTTCACTCAGTTTGTAGCTGGAAGGTGAAACAGCAGTTTGTTCTAGCTGCCTTAACTCTTCCCTGGTTGTCTTGAATTTGGGTTGTTTCTCCATGGGGTTAAAATGATTGGATTGTTGTTGTCATGGGAATGTTCCATGGAAGGTGCATGTCAGATGAATTAACAGTTCCCACTCTTTTAATATAAATGTTTGCTTCTTTGTTCCAAGTTGACCTGATTTGTGAGTTCTCAAAGTACAAAGCAGCTTTCCAGAGGACTCTGTGCTCAGAAAGAGGTTAGAGCAGGAGGAGGAACTTCTTTGTGTTTCATTTTTGCAACATGAAAACAAAACGGGAGTTTCTGGTGTTGTAGCTGATTCCATTTGCCCCTGGATGCCAGGGGGATTTCACAAGAGAAAGTGCAGAGCTGAAAGAAATGTGTGAGACTCTATTCATCAGATCAAATTTCTGGAAAGCAGGA